TGTTCTTATAATTGTTTTTATTTCTTGGGTGTTGGTTGTGATCTCTCCTCTTTCAGTCATGATTTTATTAATTTGGGTCCTTTCTCTTTCCTTTTTGGTAAGTCTGGCCAGGGGTTTATCAATATTTTTTTTTTCCTTAAGATTTTATTTATTTATTTGACAGAAATCCCAAGTAGGCAGAGAGGCAGGCAGAGAGAGAGAGAGAGAGAGAGAGAAGGAAGCAGGCTCCCTGCTGAGCAGAGAGCCTGATGTGGGGCTCGATCCCAGGACCCTGGGACCGTGACCTGAGCTGAAGGCAGAGGCTTTAACCCACTGAGCCACCCAGGCACCTTTATTAATTCTTTCAAAGAACCAGCTCCTGGTTTCGTTGATCTGTTCTTTTGTTCTTTTGGTTTCTAGTTCATTGATTTCTGCTTTTATCTTTATTGTTTCTCTTTTTCTGCTGGGTTTAGGCTTTATTTGCTGTTTTTTCTCCAGCTCTTTTAGGTAGAGTTAGGTTGCATATTTGAGACCTTTCTTGTTTCTTGAGAAAGGCTTGTATTCCTATATACATTTCTCTTAGGACCGCCTTTGATGCATCCCAAAGATTTTGAACAGTTGTGTTTTCATTTTCATTTGTTCCCATGAATTTTTAAAATTCTTTTTTAATTTCCTGATTGACCCATTCATTCTTGGTAAGATGCTCTTTAGCCTCCATGTATTTGAGTTCTTTCCAAATTTCCTCTTGTGATTGAGTTCTAGTTTCAAAACTTTGTGGTCTGAAGATATGCAGGGAATGATCCCAGTCTTTTGGTACTGGTTGAAACCTGATTTGTGACCCTGATGTGATCTATTCTGAAGATTGTTCCATGTGCACTAGAGAAGAATGTGTATTCTGTTGCTTTGGGGTGGAATGTTCTGAATATATCTATGATGTCCATCTAGTCCAGTTTGTCATTTGAAGCCTTTATTTCCTTGTTGATCTTTTGCTTAGATGGTCTGTCCACTTCAGTGAGGGGGGTGTTAAAGTCCCCTACTATAATTGTATTATTGTCAATGTGTTTCTTTGATTTTGTTATTAATTGGCTTATATAATTGGCTGCTCCCATGTTAGGGGCATAGATATTTAAAACTGTTAGATCTTCTTGTTGTACAGACCCTTTAAGTATGATATATTGTCCTTCCTCATCTCTTGTTACAGTCTTTGGCTTACAATCTAATTTATCTGATACAAGGATTGCCACCCCAGCTTTCTTTTGATGTCCATTAGCATGGTAAATTGTTTTCCACCCCCTCACTTTAAATCTGGAGGTGTCTTTGAGTCTAAAATGAGTCTCTTGCAGACAGTATATTGATGGGTCGTGTTTTTTTATCCATTCTGATAGCCTTTGTCTTTTGATTGGGCATTTAGCCCATTTACACTCAGGCTAACTACTGAAAGATAAGAATTTAGTGTCATTATATTGCCTGTAAGGTTACTGTTACTGTGTATTGTCTCTGTTCCTTTTTGGTCTATGTTACTTTTAGGCTCTCTCTTTGCTTAGAGGACCCCTTTCAATATTTCCTATAGGGCTGATTTGGTGTTTACGAATTCTTTCAGTTTTTGTTTGTCCTGGAAGGTTTTTATCTCTCCTTCTATTTTCAATGACAGCCTAGCTGAGTATAGTATTCTTGGCTGCATATTTTTCTCGTTTAATGCTCTGAATATATCCTGCCAGTCCTTTCTGGTCTGCCGGTTCTCTGTGGACATGTCTGCTGCCAGTCTAATATTTCTATTGTTGTAGGTTACAGACCTCTTGTCCCCAGCTGCTTTCAGGATTTTCTCTTTGTCTCTGAGACTTGTTAGGTTTACAATTAGATGACGGGATGTTGACTTATTTTTATTGTTTTTGAGGGGGATTCTCTTTGCCTCCTGGATTTTGATGTCTTTTTCCTTCCCCAAATTAGGGATGTTCTCTTCTATAATTTGGTCCCATATACCTTCTGCCCCCTCCCCTTTTCTAGGATCCCAATTATTCTTTTTTTTTTTTTTTTTTATAACATATAATGTATTATTAGCCCCAGGGGTACGGGTCTGTGAATCGCCAGGTTTACACTTCACAGCACTCACCATAGCACATACCTTCCCCAGTGTCCATAAAGGGATCCCAGTTATTCTAATACTGTTTCATCTTACAGTATCACTTATCTCTCGAATTCTCCCCTTGTGATCCAGTAGTTGTTTATCTCTGTTTTTCCTAGGTTCTTTATTCTCCATCATTTGGTCTTCTATATCACTAATTCTCTCTTCTGCCTCATTTGTCCTAGCAGTAAGAGCCTCCATTTTTTATTGCACCTCATTAATAGCTTTTTTAATTCAACTTGGTTAGATTTTAGTTCTTTTATTTCTTTTATTTTCTTTTATTTCTCCAGAAATTTTCAAGCCCAGCTAGCATTTTTATAATCATCATTCCGAACTCTAGTTCTGACATCTTATTTATGTCCCTATTGATTAGGTCCCTAGCAGTTGGTACTGCCTCTTTTTCTTTTTTTTGAGGTGAGTTTTTCTACTTTGTCATTTTGTTCAGAGAAGAATAGGTGAATGAGAGAACAAAATGCTAAAAGGGTAACAGCAACCCCAGAAAAATATACACTAAACAAATCAGAAGAGACCCAAAACCAGGGGGAAAAGAAAGGAAAAAAAAATGTATGATCAGGCTGGTGAATGGAACAGAGCCACACACTTGATTTTGGGTGTATTTTGGTCTGTTAGAAGAAACTGCCTCCTAAAATTTTAAAGAAAGAAAAACTATATATATATATATATATACACACACACACACACACACACACACACACACACACACAAATAAGGGTAAACACAATGAATGGATGGAATGTGACTGTGAATATGAAAATTAAAAAAGATTCTAAAAAAGAAATTGATAAGAAGTTGGTTGAAAAAAGAAAGGAAAAACATTAAAAAAGAGAGAGAGAGAGAGAATATGATCAGGCAGAAGACTAGCACAAAGCCATACACTAGATTTAGGGTATGTTTTGTTCTGTTAGAAGAAACTGTATCCCAAAATTTTAAAGAAAGAAAAACATATATATATACAAAAAATGAGATTAAGTACAATGAAGGGATAGAATATGAGTATAAAAATGAAAATTTAAAAAGATTTTAAAAAAGGTGTTAAGATGTTGGTTAAAATAGGAAAGATGATAAATTAAAAAAAAATTAAAAAAGAAAAAAATAAAGAAAATTTAAAAAATTTAACTTTGGAAGACTAAAGAGTCCGGGGAAAAAAGCCATGAATTCTCTGTGCTGTATTTCCCTAGCGCTGGAGTTTTGATGTTCTCATTGATCAGTAACCTTGGTCTTGGCTGGATGTTCTTGCTGATCTTCTGGGGGAGGGGCCCGTTGCTGTGATTCTCAGATGTCTGCCCAAGGCGAATTGCACCACTCTTGTCAGGGGCCATGCTAAGTAATCTGCTTTAGAGGAAGGTAATGAGGATGGTGGCCTCCCAATATCCGGCCCATAGGAGCTGAGAGCTCAGGGCCCACTCCTCACTGTACCTTCAGAGAAAAGCAGTCAATCCCTCCCATCTCCCTGGTCTCCAGCCACGCTTGTGCTCACTTGGGCTGTGACCGAGCATTTCTATCTCTGGCGCACGGCCCTGTTTGGAGTGTCCAAACCCAGCAGATTCCCAGCAAACTTCCGCACTGTTCTTCCTGGTGGAAAAAAGGAGGGGTCTCCCCAGATCTGCCACTTGTGGGGTCCCTGCTCAAAGAGCAGTGGCCTATGCCTTGGATCATGGTTTATGGCAATCCCTAGCTGAGAGCCCCCCCCGTGGCTCCGTCTTTGCAGCCAGTTTTCCTGCTCCAGTACCGGGGAGCTCTGTCACACTCAGACACCCCAGTCTTTCTGTGACCTCCGAGGGTCCTGAGATCACACTGTCCCAGCGAGGGCTCCACCCCCTGCTTAGCCACAGGAGTGATGTCTCTCCACAGAGCAGACTTCTAAAAGTTCTGATTTTATGCTCCGCTGCTCTCTCACTTGCCCGGAGCTGGCTGATGGAGGCTTCTTCCCCTGGTGGTCTATCTTCTGGAATATCCCCTCGGATTCACTTCTCTGCACTTCCTGCTTTCCAGAAAGTGTCACTTTTCTGTTCATAGAATTGCTGCTGTTCTTTTCTTTGATCTCCTGTTGAGTTTGTAGGTGTTCAGAATAGTTTGATAACTATCTAGCTGAATTCCTGGGATCAGACAAAATTAGGTCTTCTACTCCTCTGCCATCTTGCTCCTTTTTTTTCTTTTTTTGCCCATTTTTAAATTGGGCTATTTATCTTTTTGTTATTGAATTGTAAGAGCTCTTTACGTAGTCTAGAAACAATTCCTTATCACAAATACGATTTATACATATTTTCTTCTGTGGGTTATCTTTTCACTTTTTTGATGGTGTCCTTTGAAGCACAAATGTTGGGGTGCTTGGGTGGCTCAGTCAGTTAAGTGTCTGCCTTCTGCTCAGGTCATGATCTCAGGGCCCTGGAATTGAGCCCCCTGTTGGGTTTCCTTCTCAGCAGGGACCCTGCTTCTCCCTTTCCCACTGCTCATGCTTTCTCTCACTATCTTTCTCTGTCTCAAATAAATAAAATCTTGAAAAAAGTCTTTTGAAGCACAAATGTTTTTAATTTGATGAAGTCCAGTTTATCTCCTTTTTGTTTCATTGCTTGTGCTTTTAGTGTCATATCTAAGGAACTCTTGTCTAATCCACCGTCACAAAGATTATTCCTAATTTTTTTTGTCCCCTCGGACTTCTGTAGTTTTAGCTCTTACATTTAGATCTTTGATCCATTTTGATGTAATATTTTTGTATAGTTCTACAAGCTTTTGATTCTTTTTTGATTTCAGAGACTGTGTGTGAGGTATATTGTCTGAAATGTGGGGTTGAATGCAGTGCTCACTCAAATCCTTTGCAGCACAAACATTCTGTGTTTCTGTGTAACTAACTTAATTGTCTTAATGCTCTTTTTAATAGTACCATTATTTGTTGCAATGACCAAAACCCATGTGATAGCAGCTTCGAAAGAAGCATTTTATACCTGGCAGTATCGTGTGGCAAAGAAGCTCACAGCATTGGAAATTAATCAGATCACGCGGTCTCGAAAAGAAGGGAGAGAAAGGTATATCTTTTGATGCATGGTTTTTAGTAGTTCAGCCATATCACATTTAAATCAGACATAGTTAATTATAAATTGTCATGCTTGAGAACTGTAAATTGTTTTGGTTACTAAAAATAATATTTTTCCATTAATTTCAAAACCTTTCAAATTATTTGTTTAAATTTATCAAAATAAATGAGAGGTAGCGTGGTGTAATAAAAGACAGCCCTTGGAGATAAAGAGTGGAAATCTGTGTTTTTATAAGGAAATAGCTATTCTCACTCATTTACTCTTACCATATTAGGATAAACCATAAATATGATTATTCAGTTGAAAATCTAACCAAAGCTTCATTCTTATGGGTTAGTTGTATGGGTCTTTCCAGAAGGGTGGGGGTGATTCTAGTATCAATCTCCATAGGAGAGGTAGGTTCTTAGGGAGGAAGTCTTCAGGTGGGGCGAAGTGGTCACTTGGCTTCTTTCTCTTGCCCTTGATTCGAGGGGGGCTGGGGTTAAGTGATAGAGGGGGCTCTACCACATGGAGAAGTTAGGAGCTAGGATGGGGGGAATTCCCTTTAGTAAGTTTCAAGGTGCAGATGCATTTACTGTGTTTTGTCAGTTATATTGTCTCTGTTGGTGATACTTTTTTTGCTCTTTTGTTGTTACCCTAAGCCTTTAAATAAAGCATTTTGTTGACTGTTCTAAGCTAATAATTCTTAATTAGGGTGTAGGCCTGTGTTGGTGGGAGTGGGCAGCAGGGGTCATGTCAGATCATCTTCCCTCACACATGCTTGAGATCTTAATGCCATCTTCCCTTCCCTTTAAGACTCACTGTTGTACTAAGATTGGATGTCCCCAGTAAATATTTTAGATACGTGAATTCATGTGGAAGCAAAACAAATAAACTAAAAAACCCCAAACAAAACAAAATAAAAAAAAAGAGTTGAGGGGCACCTGGGTGGCTCAGTTGGTTATGTGTCTGACTCTTGATTATGGCTTAGGTCATGATCTCGGGGTTGGGAGATGGAGGCCCCGCATCTGGCTCTGTGTTGGGCATGGAGCCAGTTAAATTCTCTCTCTGTCTCCCACACCCCCGCCTCCCTCTCTAAACAAAACATAACAAAACCCCCAGAACAGTTGAAAAATACTATATCTTGCTTTCTCAGTAGTTCTGAAAGTCTAACTAGAAAGAATCTTTGGCCTCTTTCCAGGAGAGCATGTGACAGCGGTAGCAATAATAAGTAAGAGAACCACAGTCTGCTGGGAGATCTTAGGATAAAGTTGGGACTGAAAAGTCTAGCCTCTTCATAGAGTAAGTAGAGTAAGTTCCTCGAAGAGCCAGCTAAAGATACTCTGGTTTTAAGATGGCAGCATCTCCCTTTCTTTCTATCTGAGATACACTTCACAAGTTCTAATGATTGGGCAGGTTCTCTCTGGGCCTCAGTTTTCTCATCTGTAAAATATGGTGGATGATGGTAAGAAAAGCCATCATTGATTGAATACTTCTAATGTGCTAGATACTACAGTAAGCCTAGTCAGTACTCTTATTAATCCTGTTTCAGAGAGGAAACTAAGACACAGGAGCTTAAATTATTTGCCAAAGGTCACCAGCTGATAAGTAGAAATGGCACGTAGAGCTGGTTGATCTGGTTGATCTGGTTCTGAAACACTCAGATTGGCCTTTCTTGTAGTACTCTACTCGTTTTAAGAAATGGAAGGTGGTCACATGATCTCCTGACCTTTGACTTTTATTTTGTGATAACTAAATAGAAGTAGTAGCTGGATATACTTAATAGCAATGTATTATAATGCAGAATCCTGGCACCTCTAAATTTATTTTCTTTTTTAAAATATATTTTCTTTCTGCATTTAATACATTTCTATTTAACATTTGATCTCATTATACTGACAAAAGTATAATCACGATTTTAATTTAACAGTGATAACATTTCATGATATTTTAAAGACAGAAAATGGCTTAATTTTGTTGTGACTATATTCTATCTATGATTTCTTGATCAGGCTCTGTGCATATGTGCTTTACAAACATCATTTTATTTATGCCTCTTAAAAAACCCTGCAAAGGTTGCCGTTATTCTCCACATGGAGAAATTGAGGCTTAGAAGCTTGTCCAGGGCCTCATAGCTACTCTATGATGTATCTTCCCTATCGCCATCATTCATTTTAATATTTTCCCGGCAAACATAGAGCACCTGACAGTGTGTCACACTGTGCTAGGCACTGGAGGAGATACAGTCTTTGCCTCCTCAGCTGGTGGGAGAGACAAGTAAGGTGGAGATGCTATGGTGTGAATAGTATTATATTGAAGGTATTGAAGGTATCAGATGGGGAAAGTCCAAAAGTAGTGCATCCTCACAACACAGGGAACATAAGAATGATTCTTTATTTCAGAACAAAAATTCCATTAATTAGTGCTTCCCAAATACTTTTAAGCTTTACCTTTATTAAGCACATTGACAGAAGGGAAATTATGGAGAAATGATAGAGAAACTTAGTGTGTTGAAGTTATTTCTGAGTGATGTTCATTTGCAGAGTAAGGTAAAATAATCTGTTGGGGCTTAATGAAGTTCATTGGAAATATGTGGTTCAATGTCCAAATACGTTTTTGGCATAACTTTCAGGAACATATCATTTGCATAACTAGTAAACACCTGGCAGGTAGTTTTTACCTTTATGCGATCGAGCTGTGTCAAGAACTCTTTAAAATAATCAGCACATTTATGTTACGTAATAGTATTCATTGGTGTCATCCAGTCCTTTAATTGTTCTAGAGATTGTGAAATGGCATAACCTGTACTTAGACCATCTTTGAAATGATCGCCTTTTTTTTTCCCCCCAGAATTTATCATGTTGATGATACTCCTTCTGGATCAGTGGATGGGGTGCTTGATTATAGTAAAGCAATTCAGGTAGGTGATTGCAGCAAATGTCGACATCTGTAAGTTTTGAAATACTGTAACTTTATTTTGACATCTGACAAATAATTATTTTTTTACTGAATAGCATGTTATTCTAGTAATTCTTTAAAAAATGTCCATTCTGAAAACCTTTTATCTCGGCCTGCTTTTTTCCCCTTGATTTTTAAAACCATTTTTGAAATAATAATAGGCTCTTGGGAGGTTGCACAGATATAGGACATAGAACCCTTTTATCCCACTTCCCTCTGTGGTGACATCTTCTATAACTGTGGGATAATATCAAAGACAGGAAATTGCTATTGGTAATGACACTCTTAACTGGACTCCCACCCGATTCCTTACTCAGTTTCACTAGTTTTGACATGTACATGTATGCGCGTAGTTTTATGTAATCTCACCATTGGGAACGGACTTGCCTCATGCTAGTTCTCCATTTTTGCACTTGCTGTCCACCCTGTCCCTGCCCCGCGACAACCATGAATCTGTTTCTGTCTCTGGTTTTGTCGCTCTGAGAATTTTTCAAATGAAGAGAATCATATAACGTAACCTTTTGAAATTGACTTTTTCGCACTAAGCATATAAGCCCTTGGGATCCATCCAGGCTGTTGAAGTGCTGTGCCACTACTTCCCCTTCCTCATTCTGGCATAAGCTGTCTGTCCTTCCACCATCTGTACTTTTATGTCTGAGCTCAGGGTTTTGCCTCCCTGCGCTTTTCTGTGTATGTGAGATGTTCCTTCCTTTCGCTCTCATAATTCCTGAGCACATCTCTACTTGTGTCATACTGTACTGTAATAAGGTGTTGGGCTCGCTGTCTTCCCTAGGAGGCTTTTGAGAAATCCCTGAAGGGAAAGATTTTATCTGAGTGTCTCCAGTGCTTAGTTCAGTGTCTAGCACATAGTAGGTGCTCATTAAATAAATGTTAAGTCAATAAATATATAGGAGAATTTTTCTAGGTGAATTGCCTACTACCTTATGCCAGATTAGTCATTCAATAAATATTTGTTACAGAATAACGATTTATTTTAGGGTACCCGGGATCCAATTTGTGCCATAACTGCGTCTGATAAGACACTGATCGTGGTAAGTTTGAAGCAGACTGATTTTATGAATAATAATTGCTTAAATTATAAAAATAGATTCAAGTAATATGTTTCAGATTTGAATATCATCTTGTGGGCACCTAGCTTACTAAGTCCAACATGAGAAGTAAGAAAGTTTTAAAGATTGCTTCACAAATTGTTAAGCATTTGCAAAAATAGCTGTCTTTAAAATTGGTAGAATAATGGCCCACTGGGGAGAGTTTGACACTGGGTTGAAGGAGCCACACAAGGGTTGGCAGGTGCGGGATGGATTGGACCGTGGTAGCAGGTCTTCGAAAGCTCCCTCCTCTCTGTGGCCTTCTGTTTTGTGTTAGAGAAGGGTTTTGGCTCAGCTACTTTCATAAAATGTAAAATGAAGAGGTAGTGTGTTTGCTAACCAGTAAAGCGAAGAAGTCTAGGGCAAAGTTTTCAAATAAAATCACTGTTACAGTGTCTTTTCTTGAGCTCTAACATTGGAAAATATTAATTTTAGAACTAAATGTTTACTTTACTTTAGTAATGCTGGTGGAGTCCTTGAATTTGAATTATGTAATCAGAGCCTGAATAGTGTGTATTTGGTTACATTCTTTAGCCATTAGATAATTTTCTGGGGGACAGAGTCCTAAGGAAGGTGGTATTTGTTTTTCTTCATCAGGATTTTTATAGTAGTTTGTCTTACAGAGCCTCTTCTTTTCTTTTTAGATTTTTTTGTTGTAGGGCAGGTTTTTGTTGTTTTAGCTGTGTTTCTGACTTTTGCAGAAATAAATAACATGCAACTCAAATTAATCACAAAACTGACATAATTCCTAAATGACAGAGTCTACCTAAAGAAGCATACTCAGGTAGTTTAATACCAGCCAGAAGTTTAATGGAGAAAATATCTTCGGCACTTTAAACTTCTTTTCACCATTGAAATGTAGAAGGTTTTAGAACAATTACTTTTTCAAACCTTTGAAACCACAGGACCCCTTTTTTCAAAAACAAAATTTTATTTCATTCTCCAGTATGGTAAACCTTCTGAAACCCATACTGCCCTTCTATACATTAAAAAATATCCCCCTCCCCCTTCCAGCCTTTCTGATTGGCCCCTTTTGAGAATCATGCTTTAAAAACAATGCCACTCTGATTAAAATGGGGAGTGGGAAAGATTGGCTGAGTGGGGCCCTCTGCTTTGTCCTGTTGTCATGGCCAGAGGCACAGAAGGGTTTGAAAACCACAGTTCTCTCTTGATTATTACACCAACTGTTGATCTGTTAAGGCTTGCACAGATTTGCTTAGTAATTTATACTATTTTTTTTTTTTTAGATTTTATTTATTTATTTGTAGTAGAGAAAGAGCTTGAACCAGGGGATGGAGGGAGAGGGAGAAGCAGACTTCCCACTGAGCAGGGAACCCAACGCGGGGCTCGATCCCAGGATCCTGGCATCATGACCTGAACTGAAGGCAGACATTAAACCGATTGAGCCTCCCACGCAGCCCTATATTTTATTTTTAGACCCATTTAAACTAATACTCATTGTATCATTGCATTCTGATCATCTCCCTTTGCCACTAACTAGTATCAGATAGGTGGCTATAGATGAAAAATACAGACTTTCTTTCAATAACAACTGTTTCATATGGTGATCTTATATGGTTTTATATGAAATTTAATTCAATAAGTGCTTTATATTTTAGCTTTTCATGTACCCTGCATATTAACCTAGACAACAAATGTGAACAACCCTTGTTATTTCTTTCTTGTGATATAAGCATTTATGTATTGTGGAACAGCTAGGTTTCTGACTTCTTTCTTGAATGCTACATGAAAAAAAATTAGATCACCAGCCACTTTGAAAGGGTTTTGATTAAATTAGAAGATACATATGCAATCAGTAATGTGATTTAACATCAGAATTGGGAATTAGTTATGACACCATCACTTTGGTTTTGGAAACAAATGTATGAACATTTAGAGAGACCTGTATTTGTAATTTAATTTCATTATGTAAATATGCTTTAATAATCAAAAATAATTTTCATAGGGTCGTGAATCTGGCACCATTCAGAGATATAGTCTTCCCAACGTTGGTTTAATTCAAAAGTATTCCCTTAATTGTCGAGCCTACCAGTTATCCTTGAACTGCAACTCTAGGTAAGTCTGAAAATTCTCCTCATGTAGTTGTTGGGTTTAGAAGTTATCAACTAGGATTTTTGGATTTATATAAAAATACAAAGATGTGTATTTGTTTTAAACTTGTCCTATACTTCATATGATTTTACTATACTATATTTATATTTCAGTAGTTGTATTATACTTTGTTTAGATGTTTTTCTTTAATTGGGCAAAATATAGAAATTCTGATGTAATACTTTAAATTGTTTGCATGTCAGTTGCTTTAATTCCCTTGGATATTTTTTCCTCAGAAGGAAGCAAAATGGAGAGTAGTCCAAGTCTTCTATCAAATTTGTAAGAATTTGTTTAAAACCAGTTATTTCTTTAAAGCCATTTCTGCCTTCTTCCCAGATTCAGATGAACTGATTTTGCAGAACAGTAATGGGTAATTATATTTGTGATTTCTGATCATCATTTTACAATTTTGTTTCCCTTCTCCAATGCCATTATTTGTAGTCGTCTGGCTATCATAGACATCTCAGGCATTCTAACTTTCTTTGACTTGGATGCTCGGGTAACAGATAGCACGGGACAGCAAGTCATTGGCGAGTTGTTAAAATTGGAGCGGAAAGATGTCTGGGATATGAAGTGGGCCAAAGACAATCCGGATTTGTTTGCAATGATGGAGAAGACAAGAATGTATGTTTTCAGAAACTTGGATCCTGAGGTAAACACAAGAAAGGAGCGTTAGCAGTACATAAATAATAAGCCAGATACCGAAACCGATTTCTCTTTTGTTTCCTTAAGAGGTTTGTTGGTGTTGGTTGCATGAATTTCTGAAAATAAATAGAAACATCTCTGTGGAGTTGTAACGTGTTTGGTCTTAAGTGGGAATAATACTGATTCTTTAAATATTCTCTGCTTTCTCTGAAAGGCACTTCCTAAGCATTTATCTGTTCTTTTTAAAAGATGGAGCCATGGGTCTCTAATATATAGTCTTTATTTTTTCCTTGTCAGAGTTCAGGAAGAAAAGAAAATCAGTAGTAACATTACCAAAATTGCTTAAAACAACCTAACCAAAGAAATGTGGTTTTGAAATGTCTTTGTGCTTTTGTTCTCTTTTGCCTCTCTGTCCACCTGAATTTGTGCTGACTTGGTCTTATATATATTCATAACCACTCTCTCAACCACGAATCCTGGCCTTTTTCACCCTGATAATTTTATGAATATGCAAGTGTGGAATGATTAAACTGCCCTGTCTGGAGTATCAGGAAGCCCCTTGCTCACTAATTTTTAAGTTATTTTTGGATTTTCTACTTGCAGCTCACATCAGCTAATTTTTAAACTTGGAATTTTCCTGTCACTTGGTCTGCTCTGCATCAGCTGTTAGCATTCGTGTTTAGTAAATTCAGAATAATTTGCGTGGTAGCCTAATCAAAGCATCATTGAAATAAACCTTTTATGTAATTTTTGAATAATTAATGGATTTTCAGTTTGGAATTTTCTCTATGCTTGCTGTACCCAACAGAAGTAAATAATAAGAAATAAATTGATAAATGCTATATGTCATTAATTGATGTGTGGATTTACGGTTTGATTTTTGGAAAGATATTGCATGCTTGGGCCCCTGAGGTGCCAAAGATCTTCTAGAGTAATTTATTTAGTGGTAAACTATTTGTCCCTTTAATATCCTAAATTATTTTCACATTTCCCCATTTTGGCTCTACTCACGATCTTTGGGTTGTGAAATGACCTGATATAAATTGGTCCCAAAGGCTTTGTTAAAGCTTTTAGGAGCCTTAAGGATCTTTGTAATTTTTAGTCCCTGAGTATGGTTTGAAGGAAAGGCATTCGGGGCTGCTGCATTTAACCTGTAAGCAGGGGCTTCTGTCAAGGGTCCAAGGGAAATTTGATGCTTGCCACAAAACAAGTGTGAAAATTTGACATGTAACCACAGGATTACCCTGAGGAAGGGAGAGGAATACTTTTTGAATGTGGGGGTCCTTTTTCCGTCGTGGGCCCCGTGTGTACTAAGTCAGAAATCATATGCCCAGACAAGTAGAGTGTTATGCCTGGCTTTCACAATGTGTGTGTAGCACACATGCTGAGTCTAGCACCAGGGGAAAAGAGATCTTGGCCTTGTGCAAAGTGATTCTTAGTTTTAACTGATCGGCTTTTTTTTTTTTTTTCCTTTTTGAGTTTGTTTTCTGGCTTGGCGAGTAGTTCAGTTTCTGTTGGATTTAGAGCTAGATGCATTTCTTTCAACCTTACCACTGACTGGATTTCTTTATAAATCCTGCTGTTCTTTCATTCATGAGGACACTGGCTGGCTGTGATGCCCGCTTGGTTAGTTACTGTGCTTTTCATTCCTGTAGCTGTTTATTGACTGATCACGTAAGGACGCACTCTTCGTTTTAAAACTGAATTGACTGGGGCTGCTTTAGGGCATCATATTCTTTTGTTATTCAGGAGATAGGCTATTATTTGACAGATAATCGTTAATGTATTTTTATCCATTTGAGTGTTATTATGAATTCTAGATTCATACTTTTAAGTTGTAGAGTTTTCTTTAGATTATATGTGAAAAAAAGTGCCGTTTGTATGTGAAGTTGTAATTCACTGATAAAGCACATTTTCTTTGAGAATTTGGAAATGAGTATTTGATGTTGATATTCCCTGCTTGATCATTTTTATCTCCAGTGATCCTCTCAAGGTATTAATTCAGCTTTTCTAGTCTTTTTCTTGAATCTTCCCTCTCACTGATGCTATTTCGTATTCATATTCCTTTCATTTCTCATATTTTTGTCACTCACCCTCTCATTTTTACATACTTCTTTACCAAGCAAGGGTTTTCCAAACTTTTGTATGTATACCTTCATATGTGCATAATTATTTATTTGGAAATTATATATATGATCTACTATTTAATACAAGTACATTATGACTCACATCCCTGAAATAGAAATTTTAGAAGACTGAGAAAAAAATAACAGGAAGTACACTTTATTTTAAAATGTCATGGTGTTATGGTTCGTGGTACCTTTAGCTAGTTTCTCAAGCATAATGTACACTTTAATAGATTGTGGAATTATTAACTTAGTGTAGGTCCCATGTTTCAGAGTCTTCTTGATAATTCCATTTTTTAACCGACTTTTTGTCAGACCTGATTAGACTGTCATTGTTTCACTTTGTAATGTGGCTAACCCCGGAATCTGTGCGAGGGGTGAGGGAGGTGACTGTTCTGTCTTGTCTTGTTTGCTTGTCCTTGCGTTATCGGTATTCCGCTAATCCACAGATTCTTTGTGGGAGGATTTTTAAGCCACATGTCCAATTTATGAGGGTTAGCTAAAAGTGAGAAACTATAATCCCTAAATCCACTTAGCAAGTATGTACAAACTTCAGTATGTCACAATGTGCTAGGATTGAGGGAATCAGCACTTGCAGGGTACCTGTCATATTTTACATGTTATGAGACCTTCTGACTTATGTACTGAATAAGAGGACATAATATAGTATAGATTAGTGAAGCTTTAAATACTTTCTTGATAAAAATAAATTTCTTGCTCACTGCCTAGGGGTGTGCCCTACTTTTGTCAGCCACTGGTCTAAAACTTCATATTTAGTTGAAATGTGGGTGCATATCTAGTGAATTTCGGAAAATAAAGAGAATTAGTTGAGATCAAGCAGAAGTTGACTTTTTAAAAAAGATTTTATGTACTTATTTATTTGACAGAGACAGAGCACAAGTAGGCAGAGCAGAAAGCAGAGGGAGAGGGAGAAGCAGGCTTTCTGCTGAGCAGGGAGCCCAGCATGAGGCTGAGATCATGACCTGAGCCAAAGGCAGCTGCTTAACTGACTGAGCCATCCAGGCACCCCAGAGGACTTTTTTAAAATCTGAACTACACAAATATTTGCAGATTTGCTTACATGCCAATAGATTATTTTGGAAACTCTTAATTTTTTTATTTCTCCTCCTTCCTGTATTTTCTTCCTTTCTCTTTATTTTTGGTATAACTTTTTATCCACACATCATCTTTTATGACTTTTATTTTTTGGCTACCTTGCTTTGTTTTTTCAGATAGCCAAATATAAAACAATTTTGTAGGTATATTTGGATACACATGTAGTATCAAAATAATCCAGGTGTACAAAAGGCCTTTATCATTTATAAGAAATATGTTGTTATATTCTTTTTTTAAAAAGGATTTTATTTATTTATTTATTTGAGAGAGAGAGAGAGAATGACAGTGAGAGAGCATGAGAGGGGGAAGGTCAGAGGGAGAAGCAGACTCTCTGCCGAGCAGGGAGCCCAATGCAGGACTCGATTCCAGGACTCTGGGATCATGATCTGAGCTGAAGGTAGTCGCTTAACTAATTGAGCCACCCAGGTGCCCATATTCTTTCTTTTTGAATTAAATTTTGTTCTGATTCTCTCTGTGTGTTCATTGCTCATAAAGACATATTATTTGCCTTTACATAATACAATTTTTTTCAGAAATAAAGGTTTTTTGTAAAAATTTCTCATATAATCAACAATTTTTACTTTTCTTTCTTTCTTTCTTCTTTTTTTTTTTGAGAGAGAGAGTGAGTACAAGCAGGGAGAAGGGTTAGAGGGAGAGGGAAAAGCAGCTGTCCATTGAGCAGGGAGCCTGATGTGGGGCTCAATTCCAGGACCCTGAGATCATGACGAAAGCATATGCCTAACTGACTGAATCACCCAGGCACCCTAACAATTTTTACTTTTTAAAAGAATATAATCACTTTAAGACTCAATAAACACATATAGTGTGTATGCAAGAGCCTTATTTTTAAACTTTGACATACTAAAACTAAATTTGATTCCATTTTTACCTGTAATTTCCATTTTTTTAGTATCTTCCTATTATAATTTTTGTAGTTTCTACATATAAAGAACTAAGTTTCAGAGTTATAAATTCGATATGTTATTTCCTTTGGATTTTGCTTACTTTCTGTTTCATGATATAGATACACACATACATTTTTAAAAAATTACATTCTGGTATTACTTCCATTACTAGATATTATCTTATCCTTTCTTGGAGGTAGTAAGTATATTGAGACTTTATTTCTTTTTGTTTACCTAATATTTATACCTACTTTTTCTATAGAGATTTAGGACGGCTACTTTACATTGTAATATGCATTTACTACACTTTTTTCTATAAGCCTGTGGAACAGTAGAATAAGAGACTTGTGTAACAGACTTGTGTATTTACATATTGGCAAATTAAGTCTTCTTATATAGAAAATCTATCAGAAATGCTCTCTGGCTAATGTTACAGAGGATGGACTTCTCCGGATGGTACAAGATTTCTTTGATATATGTGCTTACATACAAATTTAGTGTTTGTCAGTTTTATTAAGAATTAAGTTTAATGGTACATTGCATGAATAATAATTATATCGTGGTATTGGGCACTTCTGGATTGAGAAAAATTGGACCAATATTAGCTGCTATTAGAGAATTAATATTGATTACATAAGGTATAATAATAGTAATGTGGCCATGTAAAGAGCATCTTTTTTTTTTTTAAACATCTTTATCTTTTAGAGATATGTACTGAAATATTTAGGGGTGAAAATGTCATGATGTCTATAAATTTACTTGATTTACTTTAAAATACTTCAGCCAAAAAATGGACTGAAGCATATTTAGCAGATCGTTAATAATTATTTAGATGATGGGCATATTGGTGTTAATGGCATTCTTTCTACTTTTCTGTTGGTTTGAAAACATTGGTAATAAAATATAAAATCATATATTAAAGGAAGGAAATTTTTGTACAATTTAACATAAATATTTCTTTTTATCCTTAAAGGAGCCCATTCAGACTTCTGGATATATTTGTAACTTCGAGGATTTAGAAATTAAATCTGTTCTTTTGGATGAGATAATGAAGGTAATTCTTAAAAAGCAACAGTATTTCTGTCGCTAGCTTGGCTGGGATTTCCTTTTTCACCAGACAGTGTAGTGTCCCTGTTAGGAATGTGGGTTGACCCTGCTCTGTCAGTTGCTCCACTTTTAGACAGGTTCCTTCACCTTTCTGAGCTTCATTTTCCTTTCTTGTTTACAAGCCTCTTTTTTTTTTTTTTTTTTTTGTCTCGTCTCTATAAAATGTGAAAATAATAGTACCTATCTTCCAGGATTGTTATTGTATAAGGTAATGTGTAAAAAGCACTCACCATGGTGCTAGGATCATGAGCTCAAAAAATGGTAGCTAGTTGTTGTTGTCATTGTTTCTATATTATCAACAGAGGAACTGAAGAAATATTTGACAATTTAGTGTTCTGTAGTTCTAGGGTACTTCCATAGCTTTTTGATTGTAGGGCCACTATCCTATTTTTTTTTCATGCTTTATAAAATAATCCATTTCTGATTCCAGATACCCTTTTGAACCTCTACTTTGGCCTTCACTGACCATCTTTTGAGAATTTCTTTCCCTAAGACTGTATTGAAAAGAGTTTTACTTTCATTTTGTGCAAAGCATTTACTTTGCATTATGCAAAAGGCATTTGTTACCATGCCTCGTAGATATTACATAGACCTCACTTTTAGATGAAGAAGGCTCTTAGTGGGTAAAATGATTTGCCAAAAGTTCATCTGTTCATTGACTCAGGAAATGCTTACTGGCAGTCCTCAAGACGCAGTTCCTGGCCTCGAGTAGAGGGACTGGGGAGATAGACGAGCAATTCAGCAACCAGACAAGGCATGGGGGTGCTGTAGTCTCTTTGGCAGTTGTATCCCTTCAGAGGTCTGCAGCGAGAGAGCCCTGGGTCAGTTCTGAGTCGGAGTGATGTGAGTAGCACAATCGGGTGTTGTCCTACATGTTTGATGTGTGTTCTCTCTTCTAATCCTCACAACTCCGAGGCAGTAAGTTTGATTATTATCTTCATTTGTTTGATGAAGAATGTGAGGCTTGGAGAGATAGACTAATTTGCCAGTGACACCCAGTTAGCAGTAGACGGAGACATGATTTGACTCCAAGTCATCTGGCTTCAAAGCTGGTGTGTGTAATTGGTAGCACTGGCAGAGATCAAGAAGCGGAGCGGTCATGGCGGAGGTTGGCCCCGGTTGTAAGAGGCCTTGTGTGCCTTCTGTGGAGTTTGGACTACATCCTGGAGTCACTGGGGGCGTAAAGCAGGAGAGTGACATGATGGGTTTCTATTTGGGGAAGATGGCCTTGGCTTCCTGGGTGGGCACGGGAGGAGGGGGCACACTATAACACGTTTTAGAAATAGTTGGCACATAGCCAGTGAGCAGTGGCATTGGGATTTAAGCTTAGGTCTGTTTGAATCCAAACCTCATGCTTTTTTCATACTGCTTTCTGTCTTGTGCCAGGGATTTCCCGGAGAACTTTTTAGCTTCTGAATGCAATGGTTTAGTTGCAGGGTGAGGAGGGGCACACGCAGCTCAGTTCTGGGAACCATTGAGGCGCATGTTTCACTTTTTCTTTTCTTGGAATATGTAGGATACTGGTGAGTTCATTATAACTGTTTGCCTACTAGCTAGCTCTTTCCTGCAAGGCTGGCCTTCAAAAAAATTTTTTTTTTGGAGGGGCCAGCTTGCAAAATTAAGAAAAGGAAAGAGGTGAGGAAAACGGACCCTTTTTCTTTTATTTGTTTATCTGCTGCCCAGCAGCACAGGGAGCAACAGTTTCATTGCTCCTGGCAAGGAAAGAGTAGATTAAGGAGTGAGGAGAGGGGGCTGTGGGTAGAGGCCCTGGCACATGTGTTTTCTGCTCTGATGGGAACCACAGGACTCTGGGTGAGAAGAGGATAGTAGTTCCTGGGAACGTGACATTTAAGCGAGGGAAACGAGGCTGCATAATTGTAAGACACCCCTTCTTCCACCACTGCCTTTTCCCCGTGGGCAGCCTCATAGCCCCAGGAGGAACTTCACTTGTGGGTTGTGGGTGTTTTCCAGACAACTTGAAAGACGCACACACTGGAATAGCTTTTCTTCCCATTGTGGTTTACAAGGTGGTGCAGTTTGTGTGTGTGTGTGTGTGTGTGTGTGTGTGTGTGTGTGTGTCTGTTTTACTGTAAAAAACAAAACAAAACACATGCTCTAAAGGCAGCCATTTGACTTTGTTTCTTCTCATGTTTACTTATAGAATCCTGAACATCCAAACAAGGATTATATAATTAACTTTGAGATCCGGTCCTTGCGAGATAGTCGAGCATTGATCGAGAAGGTTGGAATTGAAGATGCATCTCAATTCATAGAGGACAATCCACACCCCCGACTCTGGTATTTAAAAATAAAAAATCTTCCCAAATGACTGGTGTATGCTTTTAAAGTCTCAGCTCGATCGTCCGCCACTCTTGTGGTAGCCTTCATGGGGGCAGACGCCCATTCCTGCTCTTGTGTTTAAAATACAGAAATTCCCTTCAGATGTGGAAGTACTCAAAATGAGCATAATATTAAGTGAAACGTGTATAAATGTGTTCGTCGCTTCCCACTGTGTTTGACGGGAAACAATAGGGATAGTAATTGATTTCTAGTTTAAGACCCGTTTATCGGTAATTGCAATAAGCTTTTCTGTTTCTTTTTGTACTGAAGGCGCCTACTGGCCGAAGCAGCTCTTCAGAAACTGGATTTGCACACTGCAGAGCAAGCATTTGTGCGCTGCAAAGATTACCAGGGCATCAAGTTTGTGAAGCGCCTGGGCAACCTGCAGAGTGAGTCCATGAAGCAGGCGGAAGTTGCTGCCTACTTCGGCAGGTTCGAAGAGGCCGAAAGGATGTATCTTGAAATGGACAGAAGGTAAGTCAGGAAGGTACAGGCTCCCTGAATGGCTTCGGCGTCCGCGATCTTCTTGTGCAAATGAGGAAGGTACTGTAGACTAAGTGTCTCATACCATTTCTTTGGAAAATAATTTCAGTTTGGATGACTGGCTGGGGATTCCACAAGCCCCACGTTAATTTACAGTTTGTAATTTGGAGGCCGTTTTCTTTTCTGTCTTTACATACATTAATGACTGACCGTGGATTTTTTTTCATTTGGTAGGAAAAACACAAGTAGTTTTTCATTTGGTAGGAAAACATAAGACTACAGAGACTGGGGGCTTTTATCCTTTATTACGCATCCCAATAGTTGGGTTTTCTTTTTTCGTTTAGGCCTTTATTTAAGTTTCTGTTGTCAAGGACCATGGACGGTACTTAGGGATTGATTTTTATTCCTATGTTTATTTTAGACTTACATAAGATAACATACGAATTTCATTTCAGCTGTAAGCATTATGTCTAATGTTTATTAATATTATTTGTACTTCCAGGAGATCCCTAATGCTGCATAAGCCCTGAAAAGAAAGATAAAACCAAATGTGTTTATATGTGTGGTTTTTAACTAAGCCTCATTATGTCTACAAAATTGATGAAAAGAAATGATTAGTATTTAAATCATTATTTTGCTAGGAAAATTGGAATTCTAGGAAAATACAAGGCAGGAAATCATGTCCTTTACCCTATTTCAGGTTTCCCCCATTGCCTCTTTCCTGGTTAAGTTTCTAAAGTGTTTGGCAACGTACATTGTCTGGCAGTTCACTGCTATGTATTCTAGTTCCCTGGAATTGAACCTGGCACATGGTGGGCAGTTGTTAAGTATTTGTCAAATGAATGAATAGATGCTGTCGTTTGTAGAGATCTTGCTATTGGCCTTCGGCTGAAATTGGGAGATTGGTTTAGAGTACTCCAGCTCCTGAAAACTGGATCTGGTGATGCAGATGACAGTCTCCTAGAACAAGCCCACAACGCCATCGGAGACTACTTTGCTGATCGACAAAAATGGTGGGTAACCTATGGGGACCACCTTCTCCATTCATGCGGCACTTAATATGGTAGCTGCCTGGGTAATTCCCTGTGATGCTGGGGAAATTGAAAGCCGTCCTCCCAGATCCTAAAATTCAAACAGCTTTAGATCCACACCGAGGAGCAAGAGATCCTTTGCAGTTTTCATACTCACAAAATGTGTGCCTAGCTTCAGGCCGCCTTCTACTATTTAAGACCACAGTGTGCATTTCAGAGACATTATATGATTTACTTCTGAAAAAGGTATAAAAAACATTTTATATTTGGTTGTTTTATTGTAGATTATTTTCAGCTATCATTGACTTTTATTCTGAAGTTTTCATTTTAATCAATATGCTTATTTATTTATGTCAGTGTTTGGAAGTAAACCTGTGTATCAGATTACGGCAGTGTGTCTTAAGAATATCCAAAGGATATTGCAGCTAAAATATGCTTCACAGTCGTTAGACTTTTTTCCCCTGCACTTTATATGCTTCAAAGACATACAGTAACTGAAAGTGGTCACTAGAGTAATACTAGTAATTCTAATGAAGGAACATTTTTGGTGAAAATGCTTATTTACCAGGAGATTCACATTAATTTTAAAAGTTTTTGCTTTTTAAAATTTTCTGTAGGTTGAATGCCGTACAATATTACGTACAAGGCCGGAACCAGGAACGTCTAGCTGAATGTTATTATATGTTGGAAGATTATGAAGGATTGGAGAATCTTGCCAGTTCACTTCCAGAAAACCATAAGTTGCTTCCAGTAGGTATTACAAATTGTAGTTTTTAGAGTTGTTAAGTTATTTTATAAGGTTTTTATGTTACAGTCAGGAAACATCCCCTGCCACAAAGAAAATTTAAAATGACTCTATAATCTTATAGTTTCTTAGATGTGGAATGATACTTTTAATTGTTTGAATAATATGTCAGTATTACAGAATGCTTGAAAATGGAGGGAAAATTAGTCATATTCCCACAATTTAACATGTTCACAATATTCTCTAGTCTTACCAGTTTTATAAAATTGCTTTTAAAGTTAACTGAACAATGGAGGGCATGTATTGCATGGAGCACTGGGTGTGGTGCATAGACAATTAATTCTGGAACACTGAAAAGAAATAAAATTTTTAAAAAAAGTAAAGTTAGCTGAACACCTGAAATATTTCCAGCGAAAATGATTTCTTGTCAGATATTTGCTTCAAAATGATCTGAGCTGTGTGTGTATATATTTGAAATTTGCTATAACAAAAGTTAAAAAAGATAGCTTGACTTTTATTAGGTTATATTAACAATAAAGTATTTAATGTTAAAAGAAACAAAAAGCAGAGTTTTGTGGAACTTTGTTTCAAATGTTCTTTTTAAGTGTCTTAATTGCTGAATGATGTTAATGAGTTTATATTTTATTTGTTTTGTCTAAAATGTAAATTACTGAGTTGTAAGATACCTGTAGAGTTAGCCTCTCTAGCTGCAGGGTCTAGACATACGTCAGTGGTGAGTTCTGCCTCAAAAATTTTGTCAATTAATAGATGAATGAGTAGTAGAATTCTGATAATTTGGTTTTCTCTATTGTGAATCAGAGCAGTTATCCCCGTAATAATGGCATTTTCAGGTACCTTTATTCTCAGTCCTGTGCTTTCTTGAGTAGGAGAGAAAACTGAAATTACTAAAAACCCTGGGTATTAGGACAGTGTATCCTACATAAATGTCATCAGTTAGGTGTGTCTGATGATGCAGAAAAGAATGTTGCTATAGAATATCCAGAAAAGTATTCTTACTGAGTAAATACTAAGTAATTATAGCTATAGATAATAAATAATTAAAATGATTAAAAAGTTTTAGTAATGCAAATTTTAAAATCATGTTTTTGGAGGAGCTTTTTAATAATATGGTAAAATATGGTAAAATTTTTTTTTTAGTGTTGTAAACTTTAGATCAAGTTTTTGGAGGCGTTTTTAATAATATGGTAAAATGTACATACTATTTAAGTGGGGAATTCAGGGTGCAGAACTATATATAACACGGTCATGATACTTACAGCAGTTCACACATACATACAGTTTCATAGAACAAAGATGTTAGGAGATTACATCAGACTATTGAGATAGATTTCCTATGGGTAGTAAGATTATGAGTAACTTTACATTTTTGTGCTTTCTAACTTTTTTTTTTTTACTGTGAGAATGTGTAACTTTATAACCAGAAAAATACAAATATTACTTTTAAAAAGATAATTGGATCCAAAATGTACTTTTATGATTTTCCCCAAATACTTTTTTTTTTTAGATTTTATTTGTTTATTTGACAGAGATCACAAGTAGGCAGAGAGACCGGCAGAGAGAGAGGAGGAAACAGGCTCCCTGCCAAGCAGATGTGGGGCTCGATCCCAGGACCCTGGGATCATGATGTGAGTTGAAGGCAGAGGCTTTAATTTAACCCACTGAGCCACCCAGGTGCCCCACCCCAAATACTTTAGAAATGAGAGTAGGGAGAGAAAAGCTCTGATTAAGTAGATATTCAGAAAGAAAAAGAAAATTGATTTTTTGAAAATGGAGTGTAAGCCAGATGGGTATGGTCGGCTTTTGTGGTGGTCTCCCTCCTCACCACTGCCTTGCAAGGGAGCTCTGTTTTGGATCTCGCTTCCTGAACTAACGAATGGCCAGCCTGTCTGGGGTGTTTCTTTGGAGAGGTATGTGAGAGCGCTGTGAATGTGAGATTTCCCTGAAGCCTCTAACGACGACCATTGATTATACCATCGGTTGCTCTAAATGTGTTTTCACACACTGGTATGGAGTTTGTTCCAGAACTTGACATTTCTGTAAAGTTGCTACTGTACTGGGAGAAGGAAAGAGTGTGGTAAGTTCAGGACCTGGTTAAAATTCAAATCTGCGGCGTGAGCCAGCGAAACACTGGTTTTTTAGCATCCTTTCTGGTTTGTAGCCTCTGTCCCTGTGTATGTTTCAACGAAAAATGACTGTAACCACCGGTCGATTTAATACTCATATATCCCTGTGGAGTTTTGTAAATGAAAATATAAGTGATTTCCTTGGTCTGTGAAATCTGAGAGTAATGTTCTGTCCTTACAGGAAATAGCACAGATGTTTGTGAGGGTTGGAATGTGTGAACAAGCAGTGACTGCATTTTTGAAGTGTAATCAGCCAAAGGCAGCAGTAGATACCTGCGTACATCTCAACCAAGTAAGGAACTGAAAACGGAAGTCCCTGTTCATCCTCTGAGGCTGTCGCCAGTGTAGGGTTGAGGTGAATTTTGTGAAAGGAGCTAGATACACTCTTACTTTGCTGAGGACCTAGAAAATGTTGGAGTTTGCACTTACCTCTTGAAGTGCTACCATTCAGGGTGACCCGCTCATAACTAACTCAATATGGGGACAAACCGTATGCTGCTAGTCTGGCAAGTTTTTGTCTGGAAGTAATTTCATAATCTGTATTTTATTAGGGTTTTATTTCCAAAGAAGGACTAGTTGATGGTCATTGCAAGAGGAAAGAATTGAGTTACCTTATCAATATTTATTTTGGCAAATCTATTTTCCTGTCTCTTTATAGAAAACATATATTTGGAATTTTTAAGATCCGGAATTTAACTAAAAGTGCAGAATTGTGGAAATTGCTGAATATCAGTGTATTCTTTTAAGTATTGAAGTATTTTATAAAACTCCATTTACTTTTTAAAAATAACTTTTAAATGTTAAATCTGATAGAAGATTTTCTTAACTGATTACCTATTTTGTTTTACTGTAAGCAAATGTAGCTTTTTCTTACTCCTTCTTGGTGCAAAACTGAATTATAATATTGTGATTATAAACTTCGAAGTTTTCCTTTTCTGATGTATTTCCTAAGCAAATCAAAATCTTACATCATTTAATCATTTTGACACACATTTAACTTATAGAATCTATAGTTGCTTTGATTTTAATTAAACTTATTTAAAAAAATATACCAGTTTTTTAAAAATTTTGATGTAGTATTTTTAATTACTATAAACTTAAAGCTTTATTATATGAACTTTATGACATCCGTAACTATAAATGCTTGGGTAACTGAATGGTATATTTTTCCCTCTAGTGGAACAAAGCTGTTGAATTAGCTAAAAATCATAGTATGAAAGAAATTGGATCCCTGTTAGCGAGGTATGCATCTCATTTATTGGAAAAGAATAAAACTCTTGATGCCATAGAACTCTATCGGAAAGCCAATTACTTTTATGATGCTGCTAAACTGATGTTTAAGGTAATATAATAATCTTGGTAAGTATGTGATATGTTCTAGTTACCAATGTTTCCTTTTTTTTTTTTTTTTAAAGATTTTTTATTTTTATTTATTTGACGGAGAGAGGGATCAGAAGTAGGCAGAGAGGCAGACAGAGAGAGAGGGGGAAGCAGGCTCCCTGCTGAGCAGAGAGCCCGATGTGGGGCTCGATCCCAGGACCCTGAGATCATGACCTGAGCTGAAGGCAGAGGCTTAACCCACTGAGCCACCCAGGCGCCCCACCAATGTTTTCTTGTGTATTAAAGAAAACATTTTCCATTTTCTTTGAAAACAAATACTTGTGATAGCAAAATCCCTCTGGTTTTATTACTGCTGTATCTATGTGTTATCTTAGTATCGTTACCTTTTACTAAAAAGTCTGTTTATTAGTGTTAGCACCTTATTGGTACCTAAACAATTGAATATTAATCCTGAAGTTAACAAAGAATTGGAGAATTTTCAGGGACCATAAAGTATAAGTTCCCTTAACTGGGAATTAAGTCCTGTTGATGATAGAATTTTGAGTCGTTTTAAATGTACATATTTTAAAGACATTACATTTTTTCATAATATGCATTTGGAGGGAAGATGACTAGTATATGGTAATGTATGCAAAATTTACATTATGTTCTATTTTTTCCCATTTGAGTTAATGAAAAAGGGAAGGGAAAACTCTCCTCAGTCTTCTAAATAAATCTTCATTTCAGAAGGCTGTACCATGTTAAAGTCCTGTTATTTCAGTATACTTGGGACATCACTTATAAAATCTCATGGAAAATGCTTACCCTTTCCATGAAAACTTTCTTCATTGTGACTTAAGAGCATTTGTAATTTTCTGAGGTTGTTATGAGTTGTAACTCCATGGCCAAATGCTAAGGAAAGAATGGAGTCCTTAATAAGCTAAAGAGAAGAACGTGGGTTTTAAAATATTTATCATAAATGGGTGGTACTTATGTACCATCCCACTGGTTTTCTCTTTTTAGTAAAGATCAAATTTCAGAAATGATTGTACAAATATAATTTGATTAAGGAATGTCTTCCCATATTCTTTAAATGTTTAAAGATTGCAGATGAAGAGGCAAAGAAAAGAACCAAACCGTTACGTGTCAAGAAGTTGTATGTCCTATCAGCTTTACTCATAGAACAATACCATGAACAAATGAAAAATGCCCAAAGAGGAAAAGTTAAAGGAAAGAGCTCAGAGGTAAGGTAGAATGTCACAGAACATGAAATCACCTCATGTGTTTAAGGGAAAAAAACAACAACAAACAATCAAACTTCTCTTTATGGACAGGCCATTTAATTTGCTTGTTTGCACTTTTTTTCTTAAGTGGGAGGAGGAAAAGGAATGACTGACTTGGAATTAATACTCAAATTTAGAAATTTCCACTTAGGAGAACTGAAAATGTTTTCTGCAAGACTAATCTGTAGCCTTTGCTTTCTAACCAGTGAGTTTTAGAAACTTTCCTAGAATATGTGTATTATTTTAGGTATAATGAATCTCTTATTAAATTAAAGTTTATACTCCATTCTGTTTTCAAATTTGACCATATCATGGGTCATGGTGTATTGTGTGTTGGATCACCACGATGTACACTTTTACTATCTTACAGTTTTATTTGCCAGCTACACCTGAGTAAAGCTGAAAGAAATTTTTTTTTAAATATATTTTTTTAAGATCTTATGTATTTATTTGTCAGAGAGAGAGAGAGAGAGAGAGAGAGCGAGCACAGTCAGGCAGAGTGGCAGCAGAGGCAGAGGGAGAATCAGGCTCCTCACCGAGCAAGGAGCCCGATGTGGGACTCGATCCCAGGACGCTGGGATCATGACCTGAGCTGAAGGCAGCCGCTTAACCAACTGAGCCACCCAGGCGTCCCAAGCTGAAAGAAATTTTTGATTATACTGGCTTAAAAAAGATGAATTCTAGTGGGGAAGTTAAATCTGTAATGATAGTTTTGTAATGATAAAATCTGCTTACTTGGGTATTTTAATGTATGACCATTTCAGAAGCTATCTTTATTGGAATGACAGTCATGGTTGTGCTGACAGAAAATGTGGGTCTGCTTGACTCATAGGCCACTTCTGCTTTGGCTGGTTTGCTGGAAGAGGAAGCTCTGTCTACAACTAGTCGTTTTACAGATAATGCTTGGAGAGGGGCCGAGGCTTACCACTTCTATATACTTGCCCAGAGGCAGCTCTATGAGGGATATGTTGACACTGCCCTGAAGACAGGTGGGCATATGACCGAAGGTATAGAATATGTGTAGAAATGATCACTTGAATATGAAGGGCTAGCTCCTTCAGTTTGCCCATATGTTAATTTCAATAACACTTTTATCTATGGGTTTATTTTCGTGTTTGAAATTTGCTATCTGTAATTTGTTTAGTGCTTTCCCCTTTTTGAAGCACTTTTAATTTTTTTTAATACATAAAAAGTAATAATTATGGTTCACATTAAAATCGGGAGTTTGAGATAAGCAAAAAAACCATCTGTAGCATTCACTATTCTATTCATTTAAAGTTAAATACTTAATAGCTCAGTCCATATGCTTTTGAATATCTATTTTTTGTTTGTTTTGTTTTTTAAATAATATCAGGAGTATAACAGGCCATACTTTTATGTCCTTTTTGAAAAACATCGATATGTTTTAAGATATTTCCATATTAATAGCTTTCCATAGCATTTGCTTTTTTTTTTAATTAAAATGACACTGATGTAAAAAAAAAATGACATGTAACAATCTAAGTCAAAACAGAAAAAAATACAAAGAAAAAAGTAAAATAATCTAATAACTTGTAAAATAATCTTCTAACTCCGACATAATGATTGCTAACATTTAGATGAACTTCCTTTTAGACATTTCTTCACTCCTACAAAATTGTAGATAGTTTTCCTTAAAATAATATCATTCATGTTGTTCAGGAGCTTGCTTTATACCCTGTGGTATATGTTGCAGTCGTGTTTCCATGTTGACAAACAGAGATCTGTGTTATCATTTGTATTAGCAAGGGGACTGTAAAGCTTTTTTAAATTGGTTATTATACACAAGAACCATTTTTGTTTTTGTATATTTATAACTGACCTTCACTTAATTTTAACTGATTGCTATGTGGTATAACTTATGCAGTTATGTTTAAAATGGTTGTATTTTATATAACTTATGCACAATTTCTAGACTTAGAAGGCAAATTAGAACTTTAGCTTGAGAGTTTTTACCTACTGGATGAAGAAATCCATATACAATCTATTAATTCTGTAATATATTTTAAAGAAAGATTGTATCTCTAGCATAGAAAAGGTGAAGGAGATATGGCAGCTGTCAAAATAAGTTTTCTGAACTGACAACTTAATAGGCTCATTTTCACTTCTTTTTTTCTCAAAGTTCTGTTGTTTTGGTAAGATAAGCAAAAAAAAAAAAAAATCTGTTCAAAGACATGCAAAGAAAAAACATGATTTCATGGTGCTTTGCTTTTTTACCAAAAGGAAACATGATATTATCTTGAAAATTATGACTAACAATATAATATTAATTTACTTTTTCTGGAAGGCCACAGAAATTTCTAATATATTCATATGAAAAAAAGATATGTTTTGACAACAATTTTTATTTTTTTGTCTGCGTGTGTACTTCTAACCAGTACAGCATGTCCGTCATTTGGTGGTGTTGAGTTTTGTGGCACCTGAGTTGTTGGCTAGCGTTACAGAACTATGAGATCACATAACTTACTTCCTTCTACCAGTCCTTTGAATGCCCGCCATTGTTTTTTTTTTTTTTAAGTTCATAAAAGTTCATGTAGGTTAAACTAACACAGCTTAACATAGATTCTTTTTCCATGCATGATCATGATATTACGATTACTTTCCAAAATCTAAATTGTCCTCTTTTACCTAGCCCTTCACCTGAGAGACTATGAAGACATCATCCCCGCCGTTGAGATCTACTCTCTGTTGGCGCTCTGCGCATGTGCCAGTAGAGCTTTTGGTACTTGTTCAAAAGCTTTTATTAAACTGGAATCTTTAGAGACCCTCAGTTCAGAGCAAAAACAGCAATATGAAGATCTTGCTTTAGAAATCTTCACGAAGCATACTCCAAAAGATAATAGAAAATCTGAATTGGACAGCCTTCTTGAAGGGTAGGCTGATTGTAATTAATGTATATCATTCATCCGATTAGAAGCTGGAATTTCTGTAAGTTTAATAGTGTGATATAATAATATAAGCACTGAATTTTGAAGTAATTTTCCTTAAGATTATACCCTATGTTATTTAGTCTTCTAAGTATATTAATGCTTTATTTTCTCATCGTAAGAAAAGTTTTTAATTGAAACTTGCCTGGAGATGTTTTTTCATTCCTAAATTTTTAAAGTGTAATAAGTAGTTTAAGTAATTAGAAGTTTTAAAGTATAATTCATCATTTTTCTCCTTGTTTTTACAGAGGGGAAGGGAAACTGCCAACCTGTGTTGCCACGGGAAGCCCAATCACCGAGTACCAATTCTGGATGTGCAGCGTGTGCAAGCACTGTGTTCTGGCACAGGAAATAAGTAACTACAACTTCTGTCCCTTATGCCATAGTTCAGTGGGATAAAGAAATGACAAATTCCTATGTCTGTAAAATACATGTAGCATATATCCATAGCTGTGACTGTATATATAATGATGGACTTTCATACATTATATATGAAAACCAGCATCATTATTACATAGTTGTGTTGTTACACAAAATTATATATATATACATAATATATACACGTATATATATCATACAGATGTTATATATACATAACATAATTTTGTGTAAATATACTGCTATGAAAAAATGATGCTGATTTTCATATAAAACATATGGAAATCAGTCTTATTTCCTGTTATTATCTGTTAGGACTACATGATAACTATGAAAATATTCCAAATAAGAAATTTTTCTCACCGTTTCAGGCTTACTGACTCATCAGAAACCTTGGCGGGGTTGGGTGATGAGAAAGCGGGAGTGGGCAAAGTTGAATTTAGGGAATTGACATAATCTGTATTAGAAGGTTAAACAATTGTAATATTAAAATGATCTCTATTGTTAGCTTTGTTTCATTAAATAAGTATCAAATGCCTTCTATATTTTATTTTCAGAAATGAGAAGGCACTTTAAGATATTTTTTTTTATAATTTGAATTGTTTCTAATAGGCTTATTTTTTTTGTATAGCTTTTCCTTTTTTATCCACCCTTTTGGCCTCATCTGAGAGATGGCATTTAACGTGACTCTATATTATGTAGAAAACTTGGCTCTTTTTATAATGATAAAATTTATACAACAACAGCCATTTTGTAGTTACAGTTTTAGTTGAAATATTGTCTCTAAGCAGGGCCCTTCCTTTAAACAACTCTAGGGTGCGGGGAATGATTCTTTCTGGGTCTTGTGTCTGTTATGACTTATCATCATTAATTAAAAAAGAAAAAATGGTAACCAGCAATGGGTAATTTCTTAACCTGTTTATGTAACTAACAACGTTCTCTATTTATTTCTCATGAACTTTGTCCTTTCATTTTTGCGGCTGCAGGCTAAACTCTAGCACTGTGTCATCACCATTATTTGCTCAAGTTTGGCTGATGCTTAGTAGAGGTAATGAATAAAAGTATGCCGCATTGCTATTGCAGCTGTGATACGTAAATTAGTCACCTCTCTCAAAGTGCTATGTGTTGGGTACTTTAGAGACCAATTAAGCCTGTCGCAGATTGAGAATAGTGAGCTCTGAGAAGAGGTTTAGAGCCTAGATGAGCTTTCGGCAGTGAGCTCATATGCCTAAATAAAATGAGAGGACCAGAAGTCTTAGAAGTCTCTGTGTTTAAGGGCCTTGTGGGAAGTTACCGTAATGCAATGTTAGCCTCCAAATATACTACAAAGCAAGCCATTCTAGAAGTCATGGAGCAGAAAAGGGTACAGACCAATGAAGATGCTTTAAATAACATGGTTTATTGAATCAATTTGAAATGCACGGTGATGGACAAGGAGAAAGTGACTGGGCAGATTAACACTGTTGTTAGGGTAAGGTATCAGTGGGGTAGAAAGATTACATTACCTGAATCCTGAGTTATGTTCTGTTCTTGTGTCCCGACTCCCATTCTGCCCAGTCAGCTTCCCCCACCCAACCCCGATAGTATGGCTATAAAGAGGACTGGAGCTGAGGTTTGATCCACATGACCCAGTCATATGGAATGTGCCTGAAGCTAGTGATGGACACTTGCTCTATAGAAGAGGCCATGGGGCAAGTATACCAGGTCACAGCCACAGGCTGCCAGTCTGCTGAGCGGTCATGGATTTGATTGGATTGTATTTCTTGGGCAGAGGACTGGCCAGAGTAAGTGTCACCGATGGCTAATTATATCAAGATCTCACACATATCGAACACTTTATAGGTCTTACGCATATTACTGTGTCATGAATAGTATGTTGGTTGCCTTTATGTTTTTAGTGCCTCTTTAATATGAGGTATGGTCATACATTCATAGTCTACTTACTTTGTCTAACACACCTCATAAATTACCTACTTATTAAGTTTAACACAGTTTCATCTAACTGATTTGTTTTCTTCTATGACTAGTAGAGGATATTATTCCAGATTAGAAAATCACATACTAACAAAAGGATCAACCCTAGGGAATATATCTCCTGTTGAACATAATTACATCTTTTTTTTTTTTTTTTAAGATGCATTTATTTATTTGAGACAGAGAGAGGGAGGGAGCATGAGTGGGAGGGGCAGAGGGATAGGGAGAGGGAGTCTTTCTTTTTTTAATTATTTTTATTAACATATAATGTAGTATTTGCCAGGGATACAGGTCTGTGAATCATTAGGCTTATACATTTCACAGCACTCACCCAATGTCAGTAACCCAGCCACCCTCTCCTATTCCCCCACCCCCAGCAATGCTCAGTTTGTTTAGTGAGATTAAGAGTCTCTTATGGTCTGTTTCCCTCCCAATACCATCTTGTTTCATTTTTCCCTTCCCTACCCCCCCACAACTCCCCCACCCTGCCTCTCAAATTCCTCACATCAGAGAGATCATATGATAATTGTCTTTCTCTGGTTGACTTATTTCGCTCAGCATAATACCTTCTAGTTCCATCCATGTCGTTGCAAATGGCAAGATTTCATTTCTTTTGATGGCTGCATAGTATTCCACTGTGTGTGTGTGTGTGTGTGTGTGTGTGTGTGTGTGTGTGTGTGTATCACATCTTCTTTATCCACTCATCTTTTGATGGACATCTAGGTTCTTTCCATATTTTGGCTATTGTAGACATTGCTGCTATAAACATTCGGGTGCACGTGCCCCTTCAGATCACTATGTTAGTATCTTTAGGGTAAATACCCAGTAGGGCGATTGCTGGGCCATAGGGTAGCTCTATTTTCAACTTTTTGAGGAATCTACATGTTTTCCAGAGTGGCTGCACCAGCTTGCGGTCCCACCAACAGTAGAGGAGGGTTCCCCCTTTCTCTGCATCCTTGCCAGCATCTGTCCTTTCCTGACTTGTTAATTTTAGCCATTCTGACTGGCGTGAGGTGGTATTTCATTGTGGTTTTGATTTGTATTTCCCTGGTGCCGAGTGATGTGGAGCACTTTTTCATGTGTCTGTTGGCCATTTGGATGTCTTCTTTATAGAAATGTCTGTTCATATCTTCTGCCCATTTCTTGATTGGGTTCTTTGTTCTTTGGGTGTTGAGTTCTTTATAGATTTTGGATACTAGCCCTTTATCTGATATGTCATTTGCGAATATCTGGGAGAGAGTCTTAAGCAGACTCCACACTGAGTACAAAGCCCTTCGTGGGACTTGATCTCATGACCCTGAGATTGTGACCTGAGTAGAAACTAAGAGTTATATGCTCAATGGACTGTGCCCCTTACTTACATCTTTCTATAAGACTTTCTCTTTTCAGGATAAAACTATTCTCTGCTTCATCAGTGGAAGAGAAAATCTTAAGGATGTAGGGTGAAGGATTCCTTCATGCAGAAGGATTGCATGTTCAGAGTTCTGATTCTTAGTCCATGGTCTAATTCCTGATACATCTTTCTCTTTTTCCTGTCCCATCCCAGGAATCAGCTGAGCACTCGGTTAGATTGTCATTCCTCTAGACCTTACTGTACTTGTTGATTACATTCCCAGTTACTCCAATTCCAAAATCAGCCGTTGGCTCCTCAAGCCTTTCCTAACATATTTTTGGGAACTCTCTTTCGGAGACTTCTCATTTGCCATGAATTCCATGTTGCTTGAACCCTAGAATTTTTCTTCCAACAAATTATTTCAGATAGATGCTGAGTTGCTGTCACTACCTCTTGTTCAGTTTAATTCAGAAACCACAGTCTCTGAAAACTGTTAAACTTTGTATACCTAATTATCTATATGTAGATGTGTGTATACAGACATATCTTTTCTATTATTGTGACAGCTTATGCCTGTTTGGTATTTATATCTCTGAAAGTTTTAGTGATCTGCCATAATGTCTTGGGGGCCTTTGTCTGGCTTAAAAATAGTACTAGGGAAAGACCTATAGTATGAGTTGACCTAATTCAGTTTGTTCAGCATGAAGGAAATTTTAGGATAACCCACCAACAAACTCTGTCCTGATGAAAGGAGCAAACAGAAGTAAAATTGTCTGTATGTAACAAATAGTTGGGGAGAAGTTGGGCAAAATGAAGCATATATTGAAGACATACAATGAAGCAGTTATATTGTTTCTCTTCCTGTAAGAAGCATGTCTGACTCCATTTAAGTAATGCTGAGTTGTTCTTTATCACAAAACTTGGCCTGAATTATGTGAAGTTTCAAAACAGAATTATATTACATTTCAGAGTTTCAAAATACTTTGATAGGTCAAAGTATTGAGATGATGGGACTAACTGATAAAGTTTACAGTGATAAGCAATGTGCTTATCAAGCAACCAAATAACATTGTTGACCTGCTATCATGCACAAATGCTGATTTTATTACTTTTTTTTTACTAAAATACATTTTGAAATTATCTTTTTGTATTCTAAAAGCTGAGATTTTAGGTTTTGTGTGGCATTCAGTAAAAAAAAAAGAAAAAAGTATTGATGTAAAAATGACTTGTATTTATCCCATTTCCTTTACCTATAACTTAAGGATAACATGGTATTTGTTTTGTTTTGATTTAAATGTTCTGGTGGGGGTTGGTTAGGAAAGTGTTGGGCTTCAGAGTGGACAGGGGAGAAAGGGACAAGGAGGTCCAGTAGATGTATAATGTCATATTTTGCTACCAAACAGAAAAAACAACTTAGAAAGGTAATAGGTAAATGTCAGATGACTGGAGATTGCAGTGAATTACTCTAGAAGTCATAGAGAGTTCTCATTTAGAAATGGGGAGAAATTATATTAGCAGACTTTTAAGAGAACATGGGAAATACTTATTTGATAATGTTGTAGCTCCAAAATATTGCTACTGAGCTTCTAAAATGAAAATGACAATATTATGTTGCCCCCTACTGTCTATTCTTACGATTATTCTCAAGTTATTTTTAAAGAAATTATTTTTTGAAAATAAACATTTTTAAAGAAAAGTAACATATATCCAACTACAAAAATACATAAAGAGCTTTCATGAGTGATGAGAAGTGAAAATGGCCTTAATAACCTCTTTAAAATTAAAGGCATTAATTTATGTTTTAGTTGAATTTAGGAGAAGGAAAAAAACAGGTCAAATTAAATTGCTGTTACTGCAAGTTTTCTTCATGACATTAAAAGACTTGGAGTTAATTTTTTACTCATTTCTTATTTGGCATAGCTTAAATTTCTAGTTCGTAAAATCTAGAGAAAATTGGGATACCACTCACACATCCTGTCATAGCTAAAACTAAAATTACTAAGTAGTGAAAGGATATGGAACAACCGAAACCCTTATACACTGCTGGTGCAAATGCAAAATAGTAGACCCATTATGAAAAAAGTTGAGTTTTAGAAGTTCTCTATATATTCTGGGGGAAAATGTATGTATATGTGTGTGTTTGTGTATTTGTTCCCCACTGCCTTAGTCAACAAGAGAGAAGCTTTACTGAGGCCATGGGGCTCAGGCAAGTGGTGGCCCTATCGGGGAAGGAGGAGCCCAAGAAGGGACTTTATTTGACTTTCTTCTCAGGGCGTGGGTGGTTGGTGTCCCCGCAATTTTTGTAGCAGCTGACAGAATGAGTTTGCAGGCAAACTTAGCACTTCCAGCAGACTGTCATGTTGCAGCTGTAATTTCTGGGTGAGCTGGCAAAGGGGAGGCTTGTTGATGCCACTTGCCACGCAAAGCACCACCTGCAGGTGGAGTCTATGAAGATGGATGAGAGGGAGGGACAGCAGCTGAGCCTGGTCCCAGCACTGAAATCCTACAGTAGGCCCTCCAGTGTCCTCTAGACCAGAGCTTCTCAAGTGTGACAGAGACACTGTGTCGGAATCCTTTGTGTCTTAGCAATAGTGGACACACCAGCCCAGCATCTCTCACATTTTCATATCAGACTCATGATTTTTGATGTTTTCTCCCATTCTCTGGGTTGTCTTTGTACTGTTTATAGTCTTAATGGCACAAAAGTTTTAAATTTTCATGAAGTCCAATTTTTTTATGTTTTCTTTGTGTTTGCGGTCATATCCAAGGAGTTGCCAAATCCAGTGTCACAAAGCTGTTGCCTTATGTTTTCTTCTAAGAATTTTGTATTTCAGCTCTTACATTTAGGTTTTCGATCTATTTGAGTTAATTTTTTGATATATTTCCATCCAACTTCATTCTTTTTCATGTGGTTATCTAATTTTTCCAGCAACACTTAATTGAAAAGACTGTCTTTATGCCAATACCACAGTGTTTTGATTGCTGTGGCTTTGTAGTTAAGTTTCAAAGTGAAATGGATTCCCTTCGACTTACTGGTCCCTTTAACTTGAACATGGGATGTCTTTCCATTTATTTATGTGTAATTTTTTTCAGCACTATTTTGTAGTTTACATTGTACAAGTCTTTCACTTTCTTGGTTAATTCCTAAATATTTTATTCCTTTTTGATGCTATTTTAAGTAGAATTGTTTTGGTAATCTCCTTCTCTGGATTGTTTTTTACGTAATTATTACTTAAAAACACTGCACTTAATAAATCACTCTCTGGGTTTCCCTTTGGCAATAACAGCCAGGGAATGTAAACTAACATAACAGACCGTCAGCACAAAATATTATTTAATGGATCCTTACACTATTCCAGAGGCCTGAGAAGTGTGCAGTCTAGGCTCTTGGAGCTAATAAATGGTAATCTGAATTCGGACGCTAAGCTCGAGGGATTTCTACAGTGTCTCAGAGTAACCGCAGCCACCCTCTCCCAGATGTCTTGCTAAGAGCGGACGCTGGAACCCCGAGGGGCGTTAGAATCTGCGGGCCCCTGAGCCATTCGAAAGAAACCAAGCTTGCTCCTGCTTCTGGCATCGTAAGGCTCCCTCCCCCAACAACTCGCTGTGACAAAGGACAAGCTCTTCGCAACATCAGTCGACCGACACGGAAACCAGTTTGGGCCCATCAGTCCACTGCTATTCTGGAAAAGGAAGCAGGCGGAACCCGCAGCAATAACGGCGCCGCATTTCAGAAGAGTCCGTCCAGGATTTCCCCGGCCGCGCGAGTTCCCCGCCGGTGCCGTGAGCTTGATCTCGCGAGATGATGGGTCCTCCGAAGGTACAAACTTCCCCCTTCGCTAAGCGCCGAGGTTTTGCGGTCAAATTAAATTCCGGAGTGCGGAAGTGACTCTGTGGCGCCACCTCTAAACGCCCAGAAGTCAACCCCCTTTGTACACGGAACGCTAGGCCTCCGACCGCTATGGATGGGCAGCAAGGGCAACAAAGCCACGCGACGTTGGCACTCGCCCAAGCTCACTTCGAGAAGGGCGACTACGCCGAGGCCGAGGCCCTGTATTCCGCTTTCATTCGCCAGTGCGCAGGTGCAGGCTCCGTGGGAGCGGCGCCCGGCAGGTAACTATCGCGAGAAGTGGGGTCGCGGCGCCTCCGAGACGTGGGTGGCTGGGTATGTCAGGTCCACGGTTCCGCCGCCTGAGCTCCCCGGGACCGGAGATGCGTCGGGCGGAGCGTTTGTCTTTCCAGAGGGCGGCGAGGGGCGCGTGCTGCCCTCCCCCCGGGAGGTCTCCTACGTTACTCACTCTGACCCAAGACTTAGAGCCGATAGGGCTTTTCCACCTGCCATTTTAACGAGCGGGTGTCTGAGACCTGGAGACGGCGAGGTGACTCGCTAGGACCCGGGACCGCTACTCCGGTCGGTCGCCACATCACCGCAAGAGTGCTTCGTTTTTCGTGTGTGTGTGTGTGTGTGTAGTAGAGGAGGATATCACTCGGCCTAAATACTACCATTTCACCCCACAGTCATCCATGGATATTTCAAAAAATGCATTTCTAAATATTAAGGATTCTTACGGAAACAACCACAGTATCATTATTATTACATGATTCCTTACTATGAAATACGCAGTCAGTGTTGGTTCCTGATTGATTAATAACGTTTTTGTTAGGCTGATGTGTTTTTTAGCAGTTGGTTCCAGTCAGGATGCACACCAGGTCTCTTCATCTGTAAGGCTCCCCTTCCTTTTTTTTCCCCTTGAACTTTGTCGAGGAAGCCAGTCCGGTGTTTTGAGAGTTCCCCATATTTTGGATTTGCTGAAGTCATTCCCCTGATGTCATTTAATACGGTCCCCTGTCTCCTACACTGCTTGTAAGTTGGTAGTGAAATCCTGAGGTTTGATCCGGTTCAGATCCAGTATTGTGGCGATCATATGTTAGGTGGTGCCGTGTACCTCGATTAGAAAGCTTATAATGTCTTTCTGTGATATTAGCGACTTCACCTGCTAATATCTGCTTGCCCAGAGAGCCTTGGGTTTATGCCTGGATGTGTAGCATTTGATGGTCCTCCAAGTTTTGCCTTTGTTTTTGTTGATGGAGTGATGTGGACTAGAATGAGGAAACAGAGGAGTAGAATGAACAGCTTTTTGACGGTTTTGAATTGTCTGCACCATCACCCTTCTCTCCCTTCAAGGATTTGGTTTTTCTTGACAGCATGCCAGCTTGTCTTTTGTATGAGACTTACAATTTTTTTTCAAAGATTTTAAAAAATTTATTTGACAGAGAGAGACAGTGAGAGAGGCAACACAAACAGGGGAAGTGGGAGAGGGAGAAGCAGGCTCCCGGCTGAGCAGGGAGCCTGATGGGGGGCTCAATCCCAGGACCCTGGGATCATGACTTGAGCGAAGGCAGACGCTTAATGACTGAGCCACCCAGGGGCCCCGAGGCACAATTTGCTAAACTCATGGAATTAAACCAGAAAAATAAAATTCCTTTCATGTTTTGATAATACACCAAGGTAACAGTTAATAGAAATTTCTGAACAGGCAATAAGACAGTAGCACCATCCCCTGAGCCTCCCCCACCCCACCAAAAAAAGATTAGTAAACATAAAAAATGTAGTTTTCTATCATTTCAAGCTCAAAGAGTAGACTTAGCTACTAGGTTTCAAAAAGTATTCATCAGCAATAGGTATACTGACACCATCTAGTCTCCTTTATACATTTAACCTAAGAGCACCCGTGTGTGTTTATAGTAGATGTAATATCTGCTTCTTACCAGTGCAGGAAAGAAAACCTCCATGGTTTACTAGAAGGTCGCTCAGCATGCCTGAATGAACATTCTAATTTCCTTATAGTTCTGAAATTCTTCTAGGAACTCATGAATTTAAAATGAATTCTGTCATTTCAGATATTTTTCCTTAAATAGGTCTTTTAGCTTAAATTTATTTTTTAAAATAATGGGTCACTGAACCATTTTGAAGAAGCATTTGCAATTTTTGCATGCCTGTCACTCTGAATGGTTTACATTTTCTTTTCATATCCCAAAGTGCAGCCTTAGTCATAAACCTAACTTTCCTTTTTTTTTTTTTTTTTTTGCTAAAGCTTGCAAATGTAAAAAAAAATCCACATTTGTATTAGGAAGTTAAATTCTAGTGTGATAAATACTATCATTACAAAAATCTTAATATTATCAAAAACATTTCGGCTTCAGTAGTTAACCCACATCTTTAAAATATGAAGCAGTTTCCACATGAAAAGTAGGCTTTTAGAATTTGTTGTAATGAGATCTAATTCTAGACCAAACTTTCTATGATCCTCGGAATATAAGAAACTCACAACAAAGTTTCGAAGCTTAAAAATTGACTCTCTGAAACCTTTCTGGAGTTCTGAGGCTGCATTTTTCTTAAAACCCTTTATGGGGCAGCAGTTCACCTAGTATCATAACAGAGAGAGTTGAAGCGAGTGTGTCCTCCTGTTCCTCCAGTTTCAAACCTGGTGCTAGTGGCGTCCGGACGTGGTCTTGCACCCAGTCTCTGTCATAGCTCCCGGAAGCAAGTTTTCTCATGCTGCAGTAGTTTTGTCCATCGTTAGTAAACTTAGACTTGAAGGAGACCCCTGTGCATACCTCTTATGGTAGCAGTGGTTGCCGTGCCTGTCATATCTCAAGGATCTAGATATTAACAGAAATCTCTTTTGCTGGCACTGACAGCAGTCACGATGTTTTCTGAGGACTGTACTTTGTACTGGGGGCTTAATGAAGAAATGACAGATGAGTGTAGCCTGCACCTGTTCTGTTTGATTCAAATCTGAGAACCAGTTAGGAAAAAAAGGAAAACAGAATTGTCTCTGACCTGGAGCAGAGTCCGTTCATGTTCTCTTCATGAATCGTCGGGCAGAGGAGGGGTGACCTGCTGAGCAGGTGGCTGGTCGGAGACCCCTTGTTGGAGACCCTGCCCACTCACAGCTCCTGGGGAAGCCTCTGGAGCTTTCAGAAGCAGAGTCCCTTCGGCACACAGGACCCCCAGAATGAGCCTGAGCCCCGATGTCCTCCTCGCAGGAGGCGAGTGTGGCCTTGCTGGGGCGATCGTAACTAAGATGAGAGGGAGGGCAGCTCCATCCCCTCCTTGGGCAACAGCATGTTGATTCTTCACTTTTGGTCAGCTTGTATTTATTTACTGGTGAAACATGATTTAAAATCTCATTTTTGGTGGGATCACTTAAAAATTTGAGAATAACATTGATGATTCAGTTTGTGATACATCCATTGCAAGCTGGAGCTCTGGGCTGGCTTTTCCTCCTGGCTAAGGTTGAATTTGGTCTGTCTTCTTTGCCCTGCTGGCTGGCGCATGCTTAGAAAATGAATAATTTTTGAATGTTGCGTTCTGCGAAACAAGTTGACAGTGCACGGGGCTCTGAACACACTATAAAATGAATGTGTTTTTCGGACTGACAGGGTAGCGCTGCCACGCTATAAATTAGGTAAAGGGATTAAACAAGAATTGATTCCTCTGCCTCTTTTTTTTTTTTTTTTAAGATTTTTATTTATTTGACAGACAGAGATCACAAGTAGGCAGAGAGGCAGGCAGAGAGAGAGGAGGAAGCAGGCTCCCCATTGAGTAGAGAGCCCGATGCAGGGCTCGATCCCAGGATCCTGGGATCATGACCTGAGCTGAAGGCAGAGGCTTTAACCCACTGAGCCACCCAGGCGCCCCGGATTCCTCTGCCTCATTTCTTTGCATTTCATTTCTTTACTTGGTTTTTCCGGTGTAGATACTGCATGTCACAGGCTATGAAGCTGGACAATACCCAAAAGAGAATGAAAGTGGAAATGAGAGGAATTTGGTAACACACGTTTTTAATGTGAACTCTTTGTTTAAAGCAAATGCAGCCCTGAGGATTTGGCTACTGCCTACAACAACAGGGGGCAAATCAAATACTTCAGGGTTGATTTTTATGAAGCCATGGAGGACTACACATCGGCCATACAAGTCCAACCCACTTTCGAAGTTCCGTATTACAACAGAGGGTTGATACTGTATAGGCTGGGTAAGAATTATCTTTTTTCCCTTTTGCCCTTGACTTTATGTTATGAATTCAGAGCCCTCAAATGTGAAACTAATGTAGTAGACATCAAGTCTTAATGTCGCATAAAATTTGGGTGTAGTGCCTGAAACAAAGGAAGCATTTATTTTAGGCTTCTGGTAGGCTTTACAGTGGAGCATTGGGGTGAGGATTGGACCTGGAGACCGATGAGAGTGACCCCGTTACTTTGTGCCTGTGCATTCCCAACTGTGAAGTGAGCTCAGCACGGATGATCACCTGTGGAACTTTTCTGAGTTAAAATTTTTACAGGCACACAAGACAATATAAAGTGAAGGGGTTTTAGATCCTTAGATCAAAGGACTGTAGGTACTGTTTCTTTTTTAAAGTGTTAAAAGGAATACCAATTTTCTGTTCCTTAAAGATAGGATTTTGTTGAGATTTTATGACGTTTTATGCTATTTCTCTGTTAAATCTCAAGAAATAAACCCAGAGTCAATTTTAAGTGTTCATTTAAAGCTAATTTAAAATTTTAATTTTAATTATTCTGTAAGGGCATGCAAAATTACTTTGATATACACATCCATATATCATTATTAAGAAGAAAAAAAATCCTTTACTAGGTGTGGTTGAAAGCTCATAAATACAAAAGCACGTGTATCTGAACTTTGTTATGAATAATATATAGAAATACTCAGTTTTATTATTCTTTTTCATTTTTTGGGTCCTGGTACAGGATACTTTGATGATGCTTTGGAAGATTTCAAGAAGGTATTAGACTTAAATCCTGGATTTCAAGATGCTGCTTTGAGCTTAAAACAGACTATTCTAGACAAAGAAGAAAAACAAAGAAGAAATCATTGAAAAAATTTTTGCAAGTTTTAACTTAATTAAAATATTGACTCATGACCCTTATAATACCTGGCATCTCATTCTTTATAATGTAAAGTAGGTGTTGAGTAATTACTATTTTTTTTTTTTTTGGCGACAAGCTATTTTGATATATATTTAAGATGAAGAGATTCATGCCTTAGCACTGAAAGTTAAATAATATATTTAAAGTAGTTAATTTCAGCTCGAGCTACTGTTGAATAACTGCTTTTTGTAAAGTATAAATAAATAATATCAATGCATAGTTGTATATGATTACAGTAAAATATTTAAAGAAATGTGTGACATTTTCTTCATTAACGTTATATTTTTTATTATTTTTGTTCCCAACTTTTTATTTTAAAAATTTGACATCTGGGTGCCTGGGTGGCTCAGTGGGTTGGGCCGCTGTCTTCGGCTCGGGTCGTGGTCTCGGGGTCCTGGGATCGAGTCCCACATCGGGTTCTCTGCTCGGCAGAGATCCTGCTTCCCTCTCTCTCTCTCTGCCTGCCTCTCCGTCTACTTGTGATCTCTCTCTGTCAAATAAATAAATAAAATCTTTAAAAAAAAAATTTGACATCTGGGCTGAGCCACCCAGGTGCCCCTTCTCTTGGCTTCTCTTCTCTTTTCCTTACTCTTGACTGGGGTCAGATGTAATATGAAAAAACCAAAACCAAAAACCAAAACTCTGTAAAAGAATTTGTTTAGTTTCTTGAATTCAATGATTCTTCATCCTTTTGTCAGAAAAAAAAAAAAAAATCACTGAAGGTCAGATTCAGTACTTGCTAATTAGAACCCAGATGCTTATTTTTCTCTTGTCTTATTACTGGAAATAACTGAAGGATAATATATTTTTATCTCTTGATCAAAACTTTAGGTGTTACACAGATTCTAAATTTCTGATTTGCTAAATAACACCTTTGTTATGTGCCTTCAAGATATTCTATGTGTGCTGTTGCTCCGATTTCTCCTATTTTAGCATTTCTACTAAAAATATACCGAAACTGTGTCATCTTCCAGCCTTTCTCTCCCTAAAAACAAGAGAGAAAGTTGTGGTTTGTTACAAAGTAAGGTAAGAGAGTAAATGGATAGAAGTTACTTCTGAGCTTAGAGAATTACTTTTACACCAACAGAAAACCTGGAGCTATTTATGCTTTTTTTTTTTCTGAAATCCAGAACTGAATGAAGCCAACGATTTACTTTCTGATAGCAAACTACAGTCTGCTGGTGGAACAGGAAATTCTTTCCCAGTCAGCTTTTAGTCATTACCGATTTTGCCCTCTCCTGGATCTTCTCTCTTTTTTCTTTCCCTGACTTCTCTAACCTCCCCTCACTCACTACATAGTCTTGCCCCCCACTCCCATCATTTTGCTGGTCTGAAAATCTTTCTCAGTGGGTGTGGTGGAAGCCAACCTAGCTTCAGGGCAAATCAATTTGGCATTTGCATGGATCTTTGTAACCTCTCTGCCAAACCTAATTCCCCCTTAAAACTTTAACTCAGTTTCCTAAACCTCTTTCTTGCCTAACAAACTTAATTTGTCCCTAAAAAATGTTTCTAAGTGAAAAGCCATTACGTGAAAAAAAAGTGGCCATTTTTAATTTAATTTTTTTTAAAAGACTGTATTTATTTATTTGACAGAAAGAGAGTGTGTGAGTGCATAAGCAGGGGTAGCGACAGGCAGAGTGAGAGGGAAAAGCAAGGAGAGGGAGAGGCAGAGCAGGGAGCCGGATGCCCCGCTCAAACCTAGGACCCTGGGATCATGACCTGAGCCGAAGGCAGACGTTTAACTGACTGAGCCACCCAGGCACCTCAAAATCCATTAATTTTAATGGAAAAAAAATTATGAATTCCATTTTAGCCCAAGATACCCAAATACTTTTCACAGTTAGAAAAATATATTAATTGAGCAATTAAGACAAGTGTAAGTACTAGCAATTTGAAATTACATAAGTACATTTACAATAATTTCATCAGGTGTAATGGCATGAATGCTTACTACACTCATTTTTTTTCTTTCTGTACAATTTTTAAAGGACTTAAGTGAGATATAATTTGCACAGCATACAGTTCACACTTAAAGTATACAGTTCAATGTTTTTTAAGTGCATTCAGTTTCTCTACTGCTTTTAAAACCAATTTTTCAAGGTTTTGGGGTCTCATAGTCCTCTTGCAAACTGCACTTGCTGAAGTTATAACAGAAAAACACTTTTGGGGGGCGCCTGAGTGGCTCAGTGGGTTAAAGCCTCTGCCTTCAGCTCGGGTCATGATCCCAGGGTCCTGGGATCGAGCCCCACATCGGGCTCTCTGCTCAGCAGGAAGCCTGCTTCCTCTCTCTCTCTGCCTACTTGTGATCTCTGCCTACTTGTGATCGCTGTCTGTCAAATAAATAAATAAAATCTTAAAAAAAAAAAAGAAAAGAAGAAAAACACTTTTGGGCAAATGAAGGGCTACACATTACAGTCCTTCACAATACCAAAGAGCTTACAGACACAACAGATGGAGGGTCCCAAAGGATCCTCTCATCCCGCTAAGTAGCGCAACACCAACTGTGCTGGGGAAATGGGAGGGTATGCCTCGTTTGAGGCTAAGACACGGAAATTTCACTCTTCTTTTAGCACATTTTAATTACCGTATTTGAGTGAAGAGGTTGCTATTTACAAAAACTGTTGAGAAACATCCAGTGAAAAGTGAACTGAACGATCACTACACGAACTAATTGTGTTACTGTGATAGCTTCCAGGTAAATTAATGTTTTGGTGTTTTCTGTATTTTTCGAAAATGCGGCAAATTATGGGAAAGTGATTCCAGTTTACATGGCATTTGGTCAGAGAGATTTGTTAAATTTCACATCTAACATTAGGGGACTTAAAAAAAAAACTTCTTTTCAAAAAAGGAAAGAAGAGAAATATTTTTTTTTTTTGAGATGCAAAGCCATTGGTAAGATTTAAAAACATAGTTTATATCTCTTCAAATCACAAGGAGATAAAAGGACACATCCATATAGCAAAAGACAAATGAGAAACACCCACAAGGGAAGCCCCAAAAGCAGAAATTATGAGCTGTGAGTGTACATTAACGCAGTGAGGGAAGAACTCAGCAGGACGCTCCCAGGCTTGTGTCTGTCAGCATCTCATCTCACATGCAATAATGCAGGGAAAGTCTTATTTTTCATAGAGGATGAAGCCGAGGCTAAGAAATGCAGTAACTTGCCCAAAGTCCTGTTCCAAAATCCATGAAAGCATTTGAAACTGTAGTTAGTATCAGTTGATTTTTGTTGTTGGCATCCACTCAAAGCAGACATGAGAACTCTTTTTTTTCCCCTTTGATCCTGATACAAAATTTAAATTGCCTGTGAGTTGTTTTAGCATCCATCAAGGTGAGTAGCAAAACAATATTAAAATTAGCTTTTACCATGGAACATTATTGCAATTCTAAACTTGCTTGTTGGTAATTTTCCTTTCTGATTGAAAATAGACACAGAAGATGGTGAAAAGCAGATTAATATTAAGAGCAAACTCCATTTGGAAAATGGAAACCCTCAGCTGCCAATATGTAAATTTGTATCTTATGTTAAGAAAAAGTATCCAACATCTATAAGCAAGGCAAAAGGAAGATTGCATATCCTTTCAATATGCTGAGCGCAGCCTAATAGACCCACCCAGGGACTATTAAATTCTCTGAGATTACATGTAATTTACAGATTTTTGTCCAGAGAACATGCAACTGATTTCTTTCTGGTAGAAATGGTATCATGGTTTTATCACCCCGGAGGACATTAACTAGTTATGATTCTAGCTTAACCTAGTGACTTAATTCCCCAATTAGTCATTGACTGTAAATACTCAGTTCCTTAAATGCTCTTTGACCATCCGGCTGGTTCTCTCAATCATGAGTCAAATAGATATTTGTCATGTGTTCATTCTGTTTTCTTAGAAGAGTCATGCTTAGTTTTAAACAGTTTATATTTGGACACTTCTATTGAGAAAACAAAACCAACTTTAATAGACTTTGCCATTATATAGTGTTTTATTTCTCACAGGACTAAGAGAAAAGAGGGACTGGAATTTTCTACTGCCTGTTCATTTGAAATTTCAATGATTCTTGTTCGGATTATGAGAAGTTTAATTGAGCTCTGACTGGAGCAGAGTATGGGGAAGACCTTAACCTTAAATTGCAACCCATGTAGGTACTCCTTTGAAAAGTAGGCGAAAGGGCAGAGAATGTAGAAAACAAAAGCCACCCCCACCCCCCACCCTCCACCCCCAGGCATTTTCCTCTTCTCACGTGGCAAAAGGGGCAAAAGGAACCACTCTGAAGTTGTATCTATCCTTCCAGACCTTTCTCGATCGATGGACAAGTACACAGACATATGTGTGCACGGCCATGCACAGATTAATGGCACACGTATCATTATTCAGTCATTTAAATGACTGCTGATCTGGGACATTCTTCTCAGTAAGAACATAGCAATTGGCCTCATTCTGCTTGGACCCATGATGCGTGCCGATTTTCTGATATAAAATTAATAAGGTATACGGTAATAAAATTTAAAATTTAAAAATTAAAACCATACAGGAGGGCTAAGTGGAGACTAAGACCCCGACTCCTCCAGAAGTAACCGCTTTAATCAGAACAACTGGAAACAAAGTGTCAAACCGCTCACTTTCCTGCTCCCACCACTCACATCTTTAAAACCTCAGTTTGAGTTCTTTTCACCACGTTCCTGTAGATCTGTGCCCTCTAGGCAATTTTGGCCAGTTTGTACCAGGAACACCTCTGACTGTATTCCTCTTGGCACCACGTCTTCCTGAACCTATTTCCACTTTTTTAGAGCGTTCTCTTTAAGATGGGAGTTGCGAGAGTGCAGCCTGAGCTTGTCCCAGACAGGGCTCTCGGGGCTCCCCACTCTGCTCCCTGCTACCACCCCAGGCCCACAGGACCCCCCTGCTCCCCCCCACCCCCAACCTTTTCTTTTTGCAGGTCTCCCAACCGGTCTGCCTTGGCTCTCACCCTGGAGTGGCTTGTCTGTCCGAGGAAGCGGCAATTTCCCTAAAGGCCTTGGTGCAGCTGCTCCCTCCCGCCCCTCATTCAACCTCTGGCCCTCTCCTCCTTCAGGCCTTT